GTCTACCTGGCAGGACAGACAGAATTCTATAGCAATGTATTTGTAACTGAACATAGGACCTTATGAAAACTCTCATTTTTGCGAAGTTCTTATCGGCGAAATCAAAAGATGTCTGCCTTGTTTAAATCAACCGCATTTCTAACAATGCGAAAATGGAAAAAGTACAGCGAATGCTTACCACAAGATTTTGAAACATAACCGACAACTATTCGTCCTGCGACAGTTAGTCCGTCGATTCCGACGAGATCCACTGTGCATTACTTCACATGACACCAATAATTGTAGAGTATTTACTGAATGCGTAAAAAATATCACGTTTTAAACGTTACAGTGTTTATTCCGTTCTATTTTCCGAGAAATTTCCACGAAAAGGCTTTATGCATCCCTAAAAATTGAATTTACTAACATGAAAGAAATTTGGCGTTTTCGACACTTCCAGCTGGTCGATACATATGGACTGGGTTCCATTGGAGTAGTAGATAATTTATTAGGTTAGTACACAAGTCACTTCACCCGCGACATACAGTAGGCAACCGGATTCACGAACTGTGCCCAAAATCTCTAATAACTTGGAGAGCAGCCCAGCATCAATGAGGGAAACACCTAATTAAAAGTGGATGACCTTCAGTTTACAGAGGATACAACAGCTGTATGGAAGGCAGTATTGCGTTGTTCGATAGAAGCGAATAGGCGAGTTCCCGGAAGCAGTTCAGAAGCAGAAGATGCGATCGCTGAAACAAGAAGTTTACTTGCCTGACGTTTCGGATTCTGTCGAGAATCCTTCATCACCACCTGGAGTTGTGCACAGGCCAGAAGCAACCATCAGGCGCCGAATCATGAGACCGAAAGACCTACTGCCGCGGCAGGAAATGGCTAGAGTTGTTAACCGGATCTGGTACAGTTGTGGACAAAGCAACTACGTCGGAAAAACCGGGAGATTACACCGGACGCGAATGACCAAGTACGCAGCAGCAGTGAAAAGGAAAGGTGCTAACTCCCAGGTTGAAGCCCACTCGACGAGAACCAGCCATATTTTTAAGTTTAAGGAGACGGAAATCTTCGCAAGAGGTGAAAACCGCGAGAGTCATGGTACTCAGGATCTCAGTCAATCAACAAGCGCAACTAATTGCCGTTCCCATGCTTCTTATTGAAACATTGTCTGAGCAGGAGTCATTAAAGTGGGAAGGGCTAGGCCCAGCAACAACTGTCACGATAGCGAACATAATTGTCGTGTAATTATCAAGCGCGCATCCAACACGGACAATGAAATTGCGGCGATTAATGACTCTGAAACGGACTGCCAAGTTATCGTCGCATCATTTACGACCCCCAGTGGCGGTTACGGGAACTGCTAACTATATTGCGCGTGCGGTCGCGTGGCCACTACAAACTATAAATACTGCGTAATATTTGCATATGCCACCCTAGCCTGTGCATTCTACGGTCACCTCTGAAGAGTTCTCGACAGAATCCGAAATGTCAGACAAATAGGCTTCTTGTTCCAGCGATCGCATCTTCTACTTCTGAAATGCATTGCCCATTCGACTCAGTCGTGGAAAATTCGGCAGTCTCGGTTGGATTCGGACCCACGACAGCAAGGAGGCCTTAGCCACTTACGCAACGAGGTCTAACAATTCATTCAAACGAAGTATTCAAATTGTCCAAACCTTCCCCCAACCCTAAATTAATTGCGCCCGGTAGTCATCTAGTAGAATTATTGAAATTTGCCAAGCACCCAATAATTAGGTGTGTCTGGTAGTCATATGGTGGATTCAAGATTGATTGCTTAGGAAATTCGGTTTGGGCAGTCTGCTTACTGTATAAGAATAGACAGATTCCATATATTGCAGTAAGCTGGGCGGGTCACTCGAACCAAGAGTGATCAAACTACCGGTGGGGGCCTCGTGGCTCCGTTGGATAGAGCGCTGGTTGTACTAAAGCTTTTCCCTTGTTGTTGTGCGTCCGAATCCAACCGATACCGCCGAGCTTCTAAAAAGTGGACTAAACGACTTATTCACATTTGCCAAAGCCTCCCTACTAATATTGTCTTGGTTAAAAATAACTATTTTAAGGCAAAACGGAACACTAGAAAGCGAAAAAAATCTGTGCATAACAAGAAAGCTTGATTTTAAGGGGCCCGGCGCGCGTGTTCACGGAAGTAACTAACTAAAAAAATATGAGCACAACAGAGCTAAAAAGACCGTCGAAATAGCCAGCTAACTAAATATCTCCAAATAAATACAGTATGGCCCAAAAAAGTGCAACCTTCATGACGAAATATTTTGGTAGTTTAGAATATATTTGGTCACATTATTTTGATCCACTGAGTAGATAAAATCCTGTGAAAACCTTTTAGATAGGAAAATCGTCCTTTTAGTTAAATTTTGTTAGGGATAATTGGCATTAATTTTGGCGAAATTGGGAGTAGGCTAATATCGAAGAAACTTTCGATGCTATTCGGTAGGACAGAATCAAACTTTTAATGAATATGCACTGTGCTATGGAAGAACTCCAAAATAGGTAAAAAAAAAAAAAGTACAAAACATATCCCTTCCAGAACCGGAAAATTTTGTCCGAACTTGCTCAGATGCAAATAAGGCCAAGTTCAGAAAGAAGGGAAGATTTATGGTCTCTAAAGTATGTTTAGATAATCTTTGAAACATTTTTCCACAAAATGCCGTAACAAAAAAGTTTTGGTCGCATTTTGTTATACCACATCGCCTACAGAGCGAATATGCAAAGTGTCCATATATGTTACCGTGAAATTAATGTACAACAGGCCTTATTAAATGTAAGTCATGTAGGAATATACATTTTTGTAAACTACACTTTCCGCTTACGCGTTATTTTTGGAAACGGAACAGACAGAAGAATAATAATTATTTCAAAAAGTAGCCACATATATGGCCACTCTTTTTTGCATTCGCAAGCCTATAACAGATCCTGAAAGTAATCCACTATGGTGGAAATAATTCGTTATAAATAGAAAAGTAGGTTCTTTTATTTCCAGTCAAATCGAATGGTTTATCTTCAGGTGGACTAAAAAATTTGTCAAAAGTCTTCAATCTAATTTTGATATTACCTTGGAAAAAGGTAATATACACAGAAATTCGTCAGCTGAATATCTAATTAAAGCACTTTTTAAAGAGGTAGTCTATTATAGAAAGTTTTTTTTATTAATCTTAGGAATAACAATATCAGAGTTATGTTGCGGACGTTCTTTATGTTCGACAATGTGGTTTGCTCTTTTGAGGCATTTCTAAATATCATCTACATGACCATCTTCATAAGAACTATTATCCAAAAACCATTTTTTTTTTCGGTAAATGCTCTTGATGTATATCTTATTTTAAAGATTTTGTCCGAAACGTCGCACGGAACCTTAATTGATGGATGAACACATGAAGACACTGAAAACGCTGGAAATTATGCCAGAATTTAAAGGACGAACTTTAATAAATATTTATCCATTAATGGTAATATTTATAAAAAAATGACTAAAGAACAGTACTTTTTATATATACAAAGTGATTACGTTAAGTCTTCAACTTAAGAAAACATTTAAAGTCATTGTTCTAATTTATAGCTATTTTCAAGTCTCCGGAACTTGTGAATTATCGAAAAAAATGTATTTTCTTTACAAATACTTGGTACTTTTTATACTTCTTTTAAGTACTACACTTGCCTAGTGCTGTTCATTATTATTGGTAAGTTTTCGTAAACGCGTCCACGCCGGTATGCGAGTAATGATCCAACTTTTACAAACTTAGGCATGTTGAACGTATTTTGGGCCATACTGTAATTTAATACGCAGTACGTTGGCCAGCCTGGTGTTTAACATTTTTCAAAAATATACAATAAGAATTAAGTACGGATATTTTTTGTTCTTTTATGCTCTGTTCAGGATGCGGTCGAGTATGACGAAGGGATATGACTCAATACCAGTCCCGCTTCTGGATTGCGTACAACCGGAAAATTCGCCCAAAAAGATATGTTCCGTTTAGCCGAAAGTGTCATTTACTGGAAGATATATCCGCTGTTATAAGAGAGATAGAAGAAAAAAGAAATTTATAAGGACTAGCGAACATGAGCTTTCCGTAAATTGGACTTTCAGGTGGCCTTTGTGTATTTTTGGCAGTTTATGTAGTACAATAGCCTGGTCAAATCACTGCCGTTCCATATCAGATAAGGGTCCCAGCAAGTGACAAACTTTTAACTGTTCGATACCACAAAAGCCGATGAGGCATTCAAGGTCTGAGAAGAACAGGTGACCAAGCTGAGGAAACTTTGTTACCGAAACCAAGCCGGTCGGTCCAATAAACTTGGAGGTTGTACATTATACAACAAATTCACTCTTTTAAGAAACGTGTCTTTTTTCGAAAAAATATCACTTAAAGGCACCGACTTTTGGGCGAACTTTTTTTGACCGGCTACAGAATATACTTTTTTACATCATGTAAGAAAATTGCTGGTGACAGTTAAATTTAGGGTCCACCACAGCTTATTTTTCCCATAACTGTCTATTTGCTTCGTATTATTAGGTACCGCAGTAGGTTGCCGAATTATAACCTAAGGTTGAGTTTATTTTATATTTACTCAAGTTTTTCGTGTTGTTAATTTAATTTTAGCTCATTTTTGTTCCCCCTTTTGGCGACATGCGGTTGCTTTTGACTTAGAAGCTATCTCTATATCAACCATATATCATTTCTATATCATCTCTATGTCAACTTCATAGAAATGATATAG